GTAAGTTTAAGTACATTTCCTTATGTTTAAGGGGCGTTCATAGTTCCTTTTCTATGGAATGCTCATTTCCTTTACTCCTTTTTCTGTTTGGTTGTCAGTGATTTTTATTTTAGACAAAGTTGGCTTGGGGGGGGCGCTAATGGGACATCTGGATAAAATGTGAAGCATTCTGTTTAAAATGTGGGTCCCAGGTTTGAGAGAGACACCTGAAGACAGAGATTAGAGATTCACACGGATGGAGAATGGAAGCCGGAGCCATAGACCGACACAAACTCTTCACAGGAGAAACCACGCGAGGCTACAAGACAGAATCCATGGAAACGCCCACGCTCAGGATGTGGGAACAGAAGAATCTAACCTGGTAGTGGTCAGGGAAGACCTGGGATGGTGCAGGGAAACGCTAATAAAAGCTGAATATTAAACGTCTGCTAGCTCTGAACAGTAAGGCTCAGCGAGTTGACCTCATCAGCCTGCAAAACAAAGGGTCATTGGTTCGATTCCCAGTTGGGGCACATGCCTGAGTTGTGGGCTTTGTCCTTGGTTGGGGTGCATGCAGCCCAACCTGTGTTTCTCTCACACATTAATGTTTCTCTCCTTATCTTTCTGTCCCCCTGCCCCTCTCTCTAAAAGTAAATAAGTAAAACCTTTTAGAAAGATGGGAGGAAGAGAGGGAGAGATGGGGGAGGGAGGAAGAAAAGAGAGAGAGAGAGACAGAGAAAGAAAGAAAGAAAGAAAGAAAGAAAGAAAGAAAGAAAGAAAGAAAGAAAGAAAGAAAGAAAGAAAGAAAAGAAAGAAAGAAAGAAAGAGGTCTGCTAAATAAAAGTGTGTACACCCATAGGACAGTGTCCAGAAGAACATCTCCTTCCAAGAATTCCAAGCCAAAACCCTACAACTCATTCTGATTGGGGCCCCTTAGGTCACATGGCCACCCCTACGCCAAATACTGTCACCAGGAGATATAATGTATTGATTGGCCTACCTAGGTCACATGCTTCAACTCCGTAATTTTCCAGAACCTTGTGGATCCCCAAGGAAAAATATGAGGCTATTGGGAGAAGAAACAACCAACTAATGTCTTTAAGTGGCCTTTGAAAATGGTGCATCATCTAAATCTAGGAATTTATTTATTTTCTTTTTTAAATATATTTTATTGATTATGCCATTACAGTTCTATTTCCCCCCTTCATTCCCCTCCACCCTGCATGCCCCTCCCCCACCACTCCCCCCTTTAGTTTATGACCATGTGTCTTAAGTTCTTTAGATTCTATATTTCCCACACTATTCTTGCCCTCCCCCTATCTATTTTCTACCTACCATCTATGCTACTTATTTTCTGTACCTTCTCCCCCCTTCTCCTCCTCCCACTCCCCTGTTGCTAACCCTCCATGTGATCTTCATTTCTATGGTTCCGCTCCTGATCTAGCTGTCCTCTTAGTTTGCTTTTGTTTTAGGTGTGGTTCTTAGTAACTGTGAGTTTGCTGTCCTCTCACTGTTCATCTTTTTTATCTTCATTTTCTTAGGTAAGTCCCTTTAACATTTCATATAATAAGGGCTTGGTGATGATGAACTCCTTGAATTGGATCTTATCTGAGAAGCACTTTATCTGTCCTTCCATTCTAAATGAAAGCTTTGCTGGATAGATCAATCTTGGATGTAGGTCTTTGGATTTCATGACTTGAAATACTTCTTTCCAGCCCCTTCTTGCTTGTAAGGTCTCTTTTGAGAAATCAGCTGACAGTCTGATGGGAACCCCTTTGTAGGTGACTGTCCCCTTATCTTGCTGCTTCTAGGATTCTCTCTTTCATTTTAATTTTGGCTAATGTGTGCCTTGGTGTGTTCCTTCTTGGGTCCAACTTCTTTGGGACTCTCTGAGCTTCCTGGATTTCCTGGAAGTCTATTTCCTTTGCCAGATTGGAGAAATTCTCCTTTATTATTTGTTCAAATAAGTGTTCCACTGGTGGCTGTTCCTTTCCCCCTTCTGGTACCCCTATAATTCGGATGTTGGAACGTTTAAAGATGTCCTGAAGGTTCCTAAGCCTCTCCTCATTTTTTTGAATTCTTGTTTCTTCATCCTTTTCTGTTCGGTCATTTTTTTTCCTCCTTCTGGTTACTCCTTTGATTTGAGTCCCAGTTTCCTTTCCATTACTATTGGTTTCCTTTGCATTTCCATTCATTTCAATTAGTTTAGCCTTCATATGTTCCTCTAATTTGTGACTATAATCAACCAGTTCTGTGAGCATCCTGATGACCAGTGTTTTGAACTGTGCATCCGAAAGTTTGGCTATTTCATCACTTAGATTTATTGGCTCTGGGGCTCTGAGTTGTTCTTGAGTCATGTTTTGATCTGTTCGTGCCTGTTATGTATGAGGAGGTGTTCACCAGGGCAGGGCTACCCAGGTTGCTGTTTTGTGATGCTGTATGTGGGGGTGGGGTTGGAGAGGGACAATGGCAGTCCCCTTTGCCACTTTCCGCCACTGGGGCCTGCATGGTCGGTCTCACTGCTTTGCTTCTTCACCGGTTTATCTGTGCTGGAATGTGTGACTGTGGTCAGCCCTCAGTGGGTCCGCCCGCTTCTCCACACCTTGGATCTGCCCATAGCTGCTGGCACACATGGGTCACACGCCCGGGTCAGTCTGGTGGATCTTTCCTGCCTGACCCTGCTCTGCTGCTAGCTCTACCCCTCTTACCGGTTTGGCTGAAGGGTTTGTTATTGTCAGATTTCCATGTAGTTCAATCTTCTGTGGTTTGGCTGCATTTTTGTTGCTAAAACTTTGTTGTTTTTAAACTTGGTTGTGTGAGAAGGCACAATGTTTCCACCTACGCCTCCATCTTGGCAGAAGTCTCTAAATCTAGGAATTTAAATGGCACTTGATATTCAAGTTGAAGGAGTAGACACAACTGGTATAAAAAATGCAATCCAAGAGTGTGGTTTAATTTTGGTAATCAGGATGCTTAAATGAAGGATTTTTCCCTTTTCCCCAAAATAAGTCAACATCAGTGCATGTTCATAGGCATGGGGAAAGGAATCATGGGAAGGGAGACCATGGAGATTATGAAGCCTGCCCCAGGGGATAATTGAGGAGAAAGATGATGGCAGAAGTAAGAGCAGGTGAAGTCCCAGGTGCCACACGGAGCACAGTGGAGCCACGCGGCTCCCTCTGAGGAGGCAGGTGGCACCCCATCCACTCTTGCTGCTCCATCTGTTCTCCCCACTGCGGTCAGAACGATCCTTTTAAGGTGAAAATCTCCTTGTGCTGGTCCCCGTGGAGAGCTGCTTCAGTGGCTTCGCTTTGCTCACAGGACGTCGTCCTCAGGAAGCGGACTGGACTTCATGGCCCCGTAGGAGGGGCCTCCTGCCCGTTTGCTCTCTCTTCCCTCACCCTAAAGGACCACCAGGATCCACGCAAACTAGCCTTCTCCCGCTTAAATAACAGACTCGTCTCCCTGCTAGACTGCCAAGTTCTGCATGGGAACCGAGTATGAACTTGTCTCACGCTGGACCCTCTAGCACCTTGTCTGGTGTACAGCAGGCACTTGTATGTGTTCACCGGAAGGACGAATGGGTGCCCACTAGTCCTGAAACTTGCTGTAGCCTCAGTGATGTTTTTCTAAGGTCTAGTTCTCACCCACTGTTTGAGAGGTCATTTTATCAGAAAGTAAGCAAGAGAAATAATGAAACATCAAGTTATTTCAAGTTATTATAAAATGAAACATCAAGTCTTCAGAATTCTATTTTTTAAAAGATTTAATTTATTTCTAGATAGAGGGGAAGGGAGAAAGGGAGAGAGAGAAACATTGATGTGCAAGAGAAACGTCCATCGGTTGCCTCTTGCACTCCATCATCTGGAGACCCGGCCCACAACCCAGGCCTGTGCCCTGACTGGGAATCGAACCAGCGACCTTTTGGTTCACAGCCCACACTCAATCCTCTGAGCCACACCAGCCAGGACAGAATTTGATTTTATATATATGTGAAAAACAGTGAAAGGTAACACGCCAACATATAGGCAGGGTTGACTCTAGGTAGTGCAAATAAGGATCTATTTTTTTCTTCCACTTTTCAGTGTTTTCCAGATTAAATTGCATATGTATTACTTCCTGGTGTCTTCTAGATTTTCCAATGCATTGGGAGAAATGTTTTAAAATTTTCAACTATAAATTTTCAAAACAATCCGCATGAAACTTTGTAACCAAATTGCAGCCAGCCCCGGACTCTGATTTACACGTATTCATCCTTGAATCACACTGATTCATCTTCTAGCAGATTTTGCAGTGGGAACTTTAAAGGAAGAAGAAGATGGATGGTATGAAGGAGTTAAAGACATCTTAGGCAGGCACTTAGGGAAGAGAGAGGGGGAGAGGGAGGGAGGAAGGAAGCAAACCAGTCTCAACGCTGTACAGAAAGAGTGGTTAAAGCAAGTGCGGAGCAGCCACTTGGTGGAAGTGTGGCGTGGGGGCGCTCTGGCACCACCGGACCCCAAGGTCTGCTCGGACCACCCGAATAGGGAGCCCCGTGAGTGAGGCGGTGCGGCCAAGTCTGTGCCAGCCTCCTCCTCTGCCCGCCTGCCGCCGCTCCAGCCCCTGCCGGCCAGGAAGGGGTGACGCCAACTGTGTGAGGATCACAGCCGTACTTGTCATATAACATTAAATCACACAGAATTGGAGGTGGAAGGAGCCCTGTGCTCATACCTGTGCATGAGGGAAACAAATATAGAATTAATCCCAAAGGAAAAACTGGAAGAAAATGTATCACGTGGATTCCTTACAGCGACTCTCTTGTCATTATGCTCAAACAATATAGCATGCTTATTGTTTGTATCCTTCCTGCTTTCAAATTTTTACTACTCTACGTTTTTTACCCACGGGTATTAAAAAACGAGACGGTGTAAAAGTTGTACTTTACATGTCAGATCGACCATCTTTGAGACAAAACTACACCTGCAGACAGGGGAGCTCTCGCTGGCTCACCTCGTTCTCTTCTCTCCCCCCCCCCCCCACAGGACGTACTGGGTGGCGTGCTCATCACCGCGGTCCTCATCATCCTCACCTACCCTTCCTGGACCCTCATCGACAGCCTGGACTCCGCCAGCCCCCTCTTCCCCGTGTGTGTCATAGTGGTGCCCTTCTTCTTGTGCTACAATTACCCCGTGTCAGATTACTACAGCCCGACCAGGGCGGACACCACCACCATCCTGGCCGCCGGGGCCGGGGTGATCATAGGATTCTGGATCAACCGCTTTTTCCAGCTCGAGTCTGAGCCTGTGGCCTTGCAGCCTGTTATCCAGCACATCCCCCCGCTCACCACCGACATGCTGGTTTTGAGTCTGACCAAATTTGCTGTGGGAATCGTGTTGGTCCTCCTGGTTCGCCTGCTGGTGCAAAAGCTCTCGCTGCAGGTGTTGTACTCCTGGTTCAAGGTGGTCGCCAGGAACAAGGAGGCCAGACAGAGACTGGAGATCGAAGTGCCTTACAAGTTCGTCACCTACACGTCCGTTGGCATCTGTGCGACCACCGTGGTGCCCATGCTGCACAGGTTCCTGGGATTGCTCTGAGGCCGTTGGAAGCGAGCCCACTGGACAAGAGCCAAGGTGTAGGGAAGTTGTCGGGTGGGCAAGTCTTGACAACACATTTTATTTTGAAGAAATTCTTTAAGTCACATGTGTGTTTTGCTGATAGCCGTGATAAATGCTGTTACTGTATGGAGGGGGGGGGTGTTGAATTGTCTCAGAGGAGCATCGGTCTGGAAGGGTCATGCCACATGGGAAGCCAGGCTGAAACCCACAGTCAAGTTCTTGAAGGGTCCCCACCCTCCCTGTGTGTCAGCTCAGATGCTAGACCAAGTCATGGGCCAGTGGGAATAGTGGCCACAGCTGTGCCCGGCTCTGGAGAGGTGGGCAGGACCTGGGAGGCTGGGGGTCAGGCCTTTCTTTTCGGTGATGGCCTTGCCCAGCGCTGAGTCTCCTTTCCCGAATTGGAACTTAGGTCCAGGAGAAAGGGTGGCACCCTGTAAAACCGCATTCCTTACAGTGACTCTCTTGCCATTATCATCAAATTAGCCTGCAGCGTCCCAGTCTCTGCAGGTGCGAATATTGAAACAGGGGTCTGTCCTTCCTGGTTTGTGCATTTGGGGGGATTCCAGGCACCATCACTATGCTCTTCTGATCCAGGGACCTCCCCCCACCCCCGTTGCTCCTGCTGCACCAGGGGTGGGGGAGTGGGGAGGGTAAGCCTTCCTCAACAGCAGGTGGTGCACCTGGGCTTCTCTCAGTGCCCTGCTCGCTCCCGCTTCAGAGTGACTTGGGATAAGCCCTCTCTCTGCCCATCCTCAGCTTCTCTCGCTTCCTTACAAACTGTCGTCTGCATGTAAAAGTGGGTCGAGAGAGGAACGGAGAACGTGGTTCTCTGTGAAGCCTGACCCAGACAGATGCCACCTCACGGGCGCGGCCCGACCTGACCGTGTTCCTCCGTTTGTCCGCTGCTTTCTGTCCGTCTGTTTCTCTCCACCAAACAGGGCTCCCCACCCCCCGTCTGTCTGCCCTCCATCTCTTGGCAATTTTCAGGGTAATTAATGCAAGAGTAATGTCAGCCGCTTTTGGGAAAACAAGCCAACCAAACACAACAGCCTTTGCACGGAGGGTGTGTCCTTGGGACAGGTAGGCAGGTGACCCACACCAGAGGCTGCTCTCGCAGGCCTGCTTTCCGGTTACTAAGAGTAAGGAACAAGTAGCAACAATTTCCTCAGAAGTTAGTATAAAAACGTAGTTAACAAAGTACCTTTTGTGGTCCAGCGCTGGGGCCACCGCCGTGGCAATTTATAACCCTCACAGGTCACAGCCATGCACTCGCGGGGGGAACCGCGCCTGCCTGGGAAGCGAGGCTCCTACCTCTGCGTCCAGCGTGAAAGCAGACACCCCCGGACCCCAGTCCTGCTCTCCGACGTGTCCCCTGGCCGCACGGCTGGAATGGTTGTCTGTGTTTGACTTAGTGCTCCAGTTTCTTGGGAATAATTTTTAGTAAAACATCCTAGTCTTCCTTCAAATTCTTCTCACATTTTTCAGTTAGAAGGCAGGAGTGAAAATGGGCTGCCATTCGACTATTTTTACATCACACTGACTAGTGTTTGTGGCGCCATGTGTCTGGGGGGCTGATCCTTGGGGCGAGCCCAGCGGACGGGCGCTGCTGCCCTGCGCCCCCGCCCCCAGTGCAGTGGGTGGGGCAGTTCCCTACCTCTGTTCCCCCTGCCACGCCGCTGGGTATGCAAAATCATTTCAGTTGATTGTTCCGAAGCCACCGACACAAGGATTAGCCTTTGCCACCTGTATCATTTGTCATCCAAGCAGTGGTGCTGGCCATCCATTCTTGTCCTCCCAACAGTAGGAAGGCCAGTCCACATGGCACACTACAGAACGGGCCAAGGACTGTCACCGCTGGCCACCTCTTCAAGTATCACAGCAACTGGAGACGAAAGAGTGTGCATTGATGAGGCCAAGCTCAGTCTCTGTGCTCGGGCTTCATCAGCCGTCTGTCTCCATCCACTTCTCACACTGATCGCCTAGCACCCTCTCAGCCTTTCCCGTCCACACGGCCCCTCCGAGTTTGGTTTGGTCCACTGTGAGGACACTTTGATTTTCTCTCTGGGGAAAGACTGCCCCCTGCTGGTCTACCCTCAGTCTTGCTCCAAAACCTCTCTCTTGATCTGTCAAGAACTTCAAAAATGATTTTTAAAAAAATTATGGGTACTTAAAAAAAATCAATAGCATAAAGAAATTTGAAAAATGCGACTACCATCAAAATTTAAAAAAATGAACTCAAAAGGCAAGTTCACCATGATGTATCCAAAGATCCAGCCTGTAGCCAACCCTGCCCCTGGAACCCATAACACCAAAGCCCTTGGGTTCATGGGCCCCTCCAGGAGCCAGGTGGGGACCAGATGCCTTTCTCCTCCCTGCCCCCATCAGGCTCCCCACCCCCCACTGCTCTGGCCCAGGGCATCCCTTTCTGTAACCATCCCTCCAGGTAGTGCTCATTTTGTGCCAATGTTGCTCAGACCTGCACCTAACAGAATATGCAGAAGGGACACCGCGGCACGCCTGCGGGGCACACTGGGCGTGGGGTCTTCTTGCTCAGACAGGCAGCCGAGACTTCCCGAGCGTCATTAAAGCAGGTGGTGTCTCAGGGCCATATGCTCTGGTTTCTATTTTGGAAGCTTTCAGCTGTCTTGCTTATGCACTGTTATGTAAATTTGTTCTTTTAAAAATAAAGTCATTTTTGTTTGATTTTTGCCTTATTAAGTGCTCTGAAAGCCAGTTTCTGCTTCCTTGGATTTTTTCCCCCTAGACTTTTTTTTCTCAGGGTTTACTGGGCCTGAGTTCGAAAGAGGGGACAGCAACATAAAGCTATGTCCTTCTCTGTCGCTGTCATAAGTCAATCACATGCGAATGTCGGTGAGTGCCGCAGTGGTCACAGGTGCGATTAGCAGGAGGTAAGGGTGTGTCTGCATGCTTCAACACCCTCTAACTCCTTGGTGCTACGGAGCATCCTTTTATGGTGATCATAGGTAAATGTCACTATGTGGCGACAGGTGAACTTTATAGGTGTTGCTCGTTAAGGTCATGAAAGGTATACTGTTTGCTGAACCAAATGGACGCGACCCTACTTCACATCATTACGACGATATGCTCTGCCCTCCAGCATCACAAACTTGCTATTGGAAATGGTATGGAAAGCTGACACTTATTTACAAGGCCAAGGACAGAGTCCTGTTTGTACTTTGAACGGTGCGTATTTCATACTGAGTAGGAACCTTGGGCGTAGGCAGATGAGACCCCCACCCGCCCTGTGGCTTCCACTCGGGAGAGTGGAAGCCCAGGTTCAGAGAATCACGATTCAAGATCCAAAGCACTTTAAGGCTGTTGGGGGGAAATAACCATGCTGTGGGGGGTGAAGGGAGGGGCATGAATCCCAGCTTGGGGGCTGCAGCAGCTCCAGGGAAGCTCGGGGGTGGGGTGCACTAGCCAGCAAGGTTTGCACAGGGCAGCAGGTGCAAGGTGGCGCTCCGCGGAGGGCCCAGTGTGTCGGAGGCCCTGCCCCAAACCCTTCGGTCCAGCCAACCCCGTGCAGGCCTTTGTGTGTAGAACTAACATTGGTGGCAGGCTCAGCAGGGGGATGCGACATTGCAGAAGCAGATCACAGGAACTGGAAGGAAGCCGGAGAAGTCACTTAGTCCGTTTCCTTGTGTCCGTGCGGGGCCACTCAGAGGAGGTGGCACTGGGGGGTGGTTCCAGTCTCCTTTCCTTTTCCTCACTGGAGCACAGCATGTGCGGTGGGCACCTCCCCAACCCTGTTCCCTGCGGCTCTGGCCCCTCGGATGCAGCTCATTCCTGTGTCCTCTGTTGGCTCTGAGCAGAGGTGCCGGCAGCTGGGGGTCCGTCCGTGTCCCTGGTGCCTTCCTCCCTGCTCTCGCTGTTCAGTTCCCTGAACTAGTCCTGTGGAATTTCATTTAAAAGACATTTCCCATGAGCCCGGCTCTTCGGGGACCTGTGAGGGCAGTGTCGTGTCTCCCTTTAATGATACTGAGTGGAGTGCTGGGTCCCCAGTAAGAGGCTGACCAGGACCCGGCGGATCAGGGGTGTAGACGCATCTCGTTTTAGAGAACAGATGTTGTCCTAAAAGCTGCCTCTGTTTGGACTCTTTAAATTTGAATTTCTAAGTGCACCAAGGGGTTTGCTGTTTAAAATCCCACGGCAAGTCATCATTCCCAAAAACATAAGCTCTTTAACGAACTGCTGCAGCCCTGCCACAGGCCCTTCGTTTTCTCAAAGTGGGGCACACCTGCAGCGCAGACTTGGCTAGTCCCCTGGTGCGTGTGAAGAATGAGAGCCCAACGTGAACCATGAGCAGAATGCTACATTCTAAAAAACTGTAGCCACATGAGACCAGGGAGCTTCGTGAAGCCAAGAATCCGTTTTCCGTCTCCACGCCTGTCTCTATGGCATGCAAAACCAAACAAGAACAGCGAGGATGCAGCCAGCCGTTCCAGCAGGAGGGCTTCTCTCATGCACACGCTCAGCACATCTGCTGGTTTTGTTCCTTGTCGCCACGATATCAGGGTCCCCCTGCGTGGAGCGCAAGCCAGATTCTTCCCCAGTGGAGGTGTTCAAAGAATGGGAATGCTTCTGGGCAAAGCTGGCCTCAAACTGTTGGGGGCGGGGCAGGGTCACTCGGGGCCTGCTCCGTGCCACCCACCTGCATCTGTGACTCCGAACAGGTGCGGGCGTCCAGGCTGCAGTCTCTCTCGGTCACATGGGAACAGGATGGGTGGCCCTGTGAGGGAGCAAGTCACGCACGGGGCACACCCGGCGCAGATCAGTTTGCTGTCTCAGTTGGGGACCGATCAAACACTGGGCTGGAAAGCTGTTTTTGTTGTGGAGGAGAAGGACATACTTTAATGTAATTTTTTCATGAAATCAACAAACTCTGCTATTAAATAGGTATTAGTATTCTTTCTGTCAGTTCATTCTTTTTCCTTTCCACCTCTTACATCATCGTTTTCTTCTCTAGGAATCCAAAACACATCTTCCACGTCCCGGCTTGGCCGGTCTCTCCTCTGGCTTCTCGAACATCTGGATCACCGTTACAGTGTCCTTGCTGACAGTGTTACCTGCTGTGCCGTGTTCGAGCTTTTGATTCCTGTTTTCCTTCCCTTCTTCATTAAGGCCCGCAGTTCCTGGCTTCTTTGCTTCCCGGTCATTTTTATTGGGACTGTGAATTTTACATTGTTGGGTGCTGCACATTTTTGTATCACTATAAATATTCTTAAGGTTTGTTCTGGGATGCAGTTTATTCCTTGGAACTAGTTTGATTCTTCTGGGTCTTGTTTTTAGGCTTTATTAGGTGGAACCAGAGGAATGTTTAGTCTGAAGTTGGTGTTCGCAATACTGAGGCAAAAGCCTACTGAGGACTCTCCCCACGGCCTCCACCCCAGTTTCTGAGGGTTTCTAGTCCCGGCCTGTGTGGGTTCCACGGAGCCCTCCCTCCATTCGTCATGTGTAGTTACAGGTGGTCTCTGTAACAGGCAGTGCCCTCACACCTGACTTTGGGCTCCGCAGGAGGGGTGGGGCACTCCGAATCTCTCTGCAGCCTTCACCCTCCCTGCGGACCCTGGCTGCTGGGGCTGCTCCAGCCGCCGTGGCCTCTGAACCCTGTCTCACCTCCTGCACCACAGCCCAGAAGCTGGCCAGGAGGCAGCTGGGTGATCACAGGACTCACTTTGCTTATTTTGTGCCTCTCAGGGATCACGGACCTTCACTGCTGATGTCCAGTGTCCTGAAAAGCACTGTTTTACATATTTCATCTGGATTTCCAGCTGGGGTGTACAAAGTAGGAAGAGGCTCCCTGGGAAGAAAGAGGAAAAGGTGTGTGGATCAGCCAGATGCTTAAATAGCTTGACATCAGAGGGGAAGTCAGGTCTGGCTGACGTGTGCCCGTCCTTGTTGTGCCCCGGTACAAACGCCAGTCAGGTCCCGCCGGGGCAGGCTGTGCCCAGCACTTCCGTTCACTTACCTACACGCTCTCGCTCCTCCTGCAGCACGATTTGCTCGTGGGGCACCCTCCTATCTGGCTCATCTCACTTTGCCCCCCTCAGGATAACCCTAAGTGCTAATTAATGTTCCACCCAACACAACTAACAAATCTCGAATCCTGTCTCGATTGGTCTTCTACCCTGTATGTATCCAGCCCAGTGTGGACGTTCACCCAGTTTGCATCCTTTACAACTGGTTCTTGGCAGCCCCGGGGCAGGCATATTTTCATGCCTCCAAGGCACAAAAAGTTGTGCCTTGTAGAATGCAGAAAATTTGGGGGGGGGGCATCAAGCATGCTCATACCCTCAACCTCTTCAGTTTTCTGTCTCAAAGAAAGGATGGGTTTGTTTGTATGTCTGACAAACCCCATACTGATTTGACAGCTGTGTGGCTCTCTCTCCCAGGTGCCTCCTGACACCTGGAGGACTTGCTTCTAATGCAGAATCATGTTGTACTCTTGAATTCTTAAAATAGAGATGACCCAGGCCAAACCTCATGGACGAGGGGTGGAAAACCTGTGTAGCCCTTGCGAGTATTCTCCCCGCACTGTGTTGGTCACGGGGAGAAAAGCATACAGGGCTTTGGCCAGACACAGTTCAATTAAATGCTTTGCTGGAGGTGACGTGCTCGGCCCACAGTCTCACTGCTGTGCTGACCGCTGTGCTTTCTGTTCCCTGCAAAGTCGGAGGAGAGCACAACACGCGAAAGCAAGCAGGCTGCGCGGGAACCGAAGCTGCCGGGGGCCTGCCTGGCCGCTGTGCCGACTGCGGTCAGGGGCCCCAGGGGGCTGCTCGCAGACCGGCACAGCGGTGTGCTGCGGCCCTGAGTTTTCTTACACATGGCAGCCTCTATCTTCCCCTCCACTGATACAAAGTTATTCTAATTCCTTATTAACATAATAAGCCATAACTTGGAAGAGATCCGGTGTGTCACAAACTTTGACATTTAAGGGCATGTTTTGCTGAAGGCAGTTGTGCCCTTTGAAGGCTACTGGTCTTTTTTTGGATAAAATGGACAAAAGAGCCAAGTCAGTACCCCAGCACTGGGGTCAGTGATGTTTATAGGAGACAGTAAGCACAGGCAAGGGTGTGGAAGTGAGATTGTGAGCAATGCCTTCGCCAGCAGGGGGCCCATCTCTGCAGATGGCAGGGAGGGCAGGAGTGGCAGGAGTGGCAGCGAAGCTCATTGGCTCCAGGTCAGAGGGCTCCTGTTTCAACAGTACAGGTAGGTCACTCAACATCCCATACATGTCTAGGACTAAACGACTGGGGTAACACACTGCTCAGGCACCAAAGTCACATCTGAGAACATCTAAGTAACCCCATGCATCTGTGAATGTGATCATCAGACAACAAACGTGGGCACTTACACAGTCGTACAGCCCTAGGACTCGTTTTTGGGGGTCCCTAAGCCAGAGCTATTTTAGGGAAGCTATATAGCAAAGTCCACTGGTGCACTGTTTGTAACTGCAGAGTTGGAAACAACAGAGTAGCTTCAACAGAGGAGCAGCTGAACAAACCATGGACATCTGTGTCATAGAACATTGCACCATTCGTTTCAAAGAATGAGGTAGGTCTGTAGGTCCTGAGCTGGGAAAATGGGATGTTAAATGGAACGTCAGCAGCGATGCTAGGTGAGGTGAAAATCAGGACCCCCGCAAACCAGTAAGCAGAGCATGACCCACACGCTGTGGGCGTGTGCATGGCCGGCTGTCCAAACAAGGGAACATGTCAGGAGTCACACTGGCAAACTGTTGAGCGTGGTAATGGACTTCAGGGCATTGGGGGGAAGGGTGCAGTAGTGGGAAGGCCTTACTTTGTAGAACTTTCCTAAAGTGCTAGTGTTAAGGTTTTCAACTTCGTTTTTCAGTATTTTTATATAAAAAACTGGTAAAAATATCTCAACGTTTTGGATAAGGAGATAAAGTCCAAAACACTTAATGATCGTGAACTCCACGTCACCCTTATTCAGTGTCTTGATCCCGCTTATTAGCCATGTAACTCTGGGACACATCATGAATCTCTCTGAAGGTGTTCTGTTCTATAAATCAGAGGGAATTCCTATTCAACCTACCTCCTATGACCAATAAATTAAAACATTTAATGTTGAAACAAGACCTCATGTGAAAACACTCAAGTCACACAGGAATGTTGGCCTGTAGTAGAAGTAATCTGTAAATGAGAACACGCATCAGCTAGATTTCCCTTTCAACACCAGGACCCTGTTTTTCCGAACATGTGTCTGCTCCAGTAAAGGGTTTTCAGCAGTACC